AAAATAAGAAGAATTCAGGTGCAAGCATATTTTGGAGAAGTCTGAAGTGGGAAAAACCTGAAAAAGCAATAATTCTGATAGATGCTGAGGACAGCATTTCACCACTGCTATAAATTCCCTCAAAGAAATTAACTCTGAAGCATTCAGCAGAGGATACAAAGGCAGAAATCAGAAAAATATTTTGGCTCTGGCTCTTGGGCTACTACCAACCTCTCTTAAAATATGTGTCTTTATTATTCTAGACCTAAGTGCATGCAGTTCTTCACAGCAATGGGGTGCCATGAGCTGGGGCACAATGACCAACCAGAAGTGCTCAGTTCCAACTATGAACAAAAGATATTCAAGAACTTCTCTTGAACAGTTAGATTAAAAATACCTAAGAAAAAAATAAAGATCAAGTGGTGACAAATCCAGAAAAGAGGTCTATATTTAGACTGCCATAACAAAGAAATTTTAGGAGAAGGGCAGCACCTAACAACACAGTGGACAAATTCCACACAGAGCAGACTTCTGCTCTGCACACTGAACAAGTCACAGCCCTACCTTTGTAGGAGAATGCCAGAAAAGACTTTTCAAAACTGAATGATGATTTTGATTGAATTTTGCATCATTATTGCTTTGGGAAATAAGACAGGAAAGGTCATGTTTAACATGTTTCTGAACTTCATATCTGCACTGAACAAACCTGCAGGAAGATTCTAGGGTTCCCAGCTCTGTTACTGCTTTAAACCTTTGATGGATAGCAGGAAGCATGGAGAAAAAAATTAATGTTTCAGAAGACAGTGTCTGTAGTGGATGAACTACAGGACTTAAAAAGCAAATTCAGATTTTCAGACTGACTAAAGTTTTCAACTAAGCAGAAGACCAAAAGAGCTGTTCCTGTAAGCAGGAGCTGATATTCAAGACATTTTAAGTTTAGCTCTGATCTTAGCAATTGCACAGTTTTCAGTGGCACAACCAGCAAAGCATCTGCAAATGAAGGGTCAGGGCTATGAGTGTTCTTGTAGAACTCTGCCTCTTTCCAGCAAATCAGGAATTAAGGGGGAAGCAGCTGTATCGTTCTCTTCTACATTTTCACAAATACATCCATGTCCAATGTCACAAGATCTACACGTAAGTGAATCACTGGAACGCTAACTTGCTCTAGAAGTGGGATTTCCCACAGAGCCATAACTCTTGCCAACTTCCACAGGCACTTTATTTCTTTATGGACAGTGGGGTTTTAATGATTTTGTCTTCTGCCTCTTCTACACATCTATATCCTCAGTAATGGGTGCCTATTTTGAAAAGAACAGATCACTGACTGATCTCTGTCCAGTTCTGCTGTGTTTGATGACCACGGCTGGCAAATGTCTCTCTGGGCGAGAATGCAAAGTTCTCTAGGAGTTGTCAGAAGGAGAAAGAATAAACTGAAATTTAGGGAAGAAGTCCTTACTCTAGTGAAGTCTGACCAGCTATAATGACACATTCCATATCATACATACCATCAGATGGAAATCAGAAGAAAATTGCCTCAAGTCAACTTTCTTTTGTCCAGACAAAAAAAAAAAAAACGCTTATTGCAACACCAAGCTTTTAGAAGGATTACTCCACCGTGATTACCTTGGCCATAATGTGCATCTAAAGACAAGCCAAACACCCAGCTACAGAGCCAAAGCCTGTAATTAGAGCTGATATTTGATGAAGGCATGCTATGATAACTCAGAAAGCAGTCATTAAAAAAAAAGCAACAGCAAATGGAAATATCACTTCTACTTTGTATCTAGAGAAGTCTTTGTTTTATCAGAGTAGCAGCGTTATGGTCAGTGCATTGCAGTTCAGAATCAACTGTCCTGCAGTAAATGCGTAAGACCACAGATTCAACAACAGGCTTGCTTTATAGCCTGTGTACAGGCAAGAGGGAAAAGCAGCCTGCCTCACAGAGTTCTAACTTTCAGTCTTCTGCCCCAGACTCACTACAGGCTCAGGTCCCAGTCGATTTGCTGCAACACAGTTTGCAACAAAAAAAAGTAACAATGAAAGTTGGAATTGAAAACAAGTGCAAAACCTGCAGGATTCTTTTTGGTTTGTGCAGTGTAACTCACATAGCTCACACTGAGGCAACACACCAAGTACTCACCCAAAAGAGTTTACAACACGGAATGCCAGTAACTTGGTGATTACTAACTGCTAATACACATTTTGAGGAAAATCCCCCACTATATCAGAACATGTTTCCCTTCTATGACAACAAGTCCAAGGCACACGGAAGCAGCAATGCATGTAGCATCTGGACTTCAGCAAGGCTTATGACAGCATCGTACATGCTCTTTCCACAAGCAATTAAGAAAAAATGTGTATTCAAAACTAGCTGACAACAGTGTATACAACTCATTGAAAAAAACCTCAAAATTGATCACTGTCAAACTGGAACAATGTATCAAGTGACATCTTCAAGAGTTTGACTGGAGTCCAATAGTATTCAACAGTGTTATTAACTAGGTACATGATTCAATATACGGCATTGTTATCAAAGATCATGTTCCTGTGGGAGCTGAAACCCTTTTACACTATCAGAGGATAAATCAAAATGGTTTTAACAAATGTGGAGGGGCAAACCCCCAGACTGGATTTCTTCTTTTTTCTGTCTTTATTAAAAAAGACAAAGTTAATATACAGTCAGTTCAATAGGGATCCTCATTTGTACAAGAAAAAAAAATTATTTGCTTGCCAGGAGTTGTGCAGAAACTAGTCTGGACCAATAGTGTGTGAAAAAACAAATGTGTGTCAACAATATATTTAAATTAAAAGCTTCAAAGGTTGATGTACAAAACAAACATCTTTGGTAGGACAGGTGAAGCAATTCTTTCCCCTCTGGACAGCACTGACATGACCTCAGTCATGTCCAGTTTTGGGCATCACATTTGTAGAAAGATATGAAGCAACTGGAGAGAGTCCAGAGGAGGAGGAGGGGGAAAAGGAAAAAAAAGGGACTGGAGGTCTAGAAAACATGACATATGAGAAAAGATTGAAAGAACTGGGTTTGTTTAGTCTGAAGAAAAAGACTAAAAAGAGACATGATAACAGCCTTCAAATATGTAAAAGATTGTTACAAGAAAGAAAAAATACTTTCCCCAGATACTCCAGATAGAACTAGAAACAACAAGCTAAGAGAAAGGCAAATTATGTTTTTAATGTTTAACTGAGAGAAAAATGAAACATTTGAAAGACTGCCACCAGGGGCTGTGAAAGGATTAAAGGTTTTTAAGTACAAACATGCCTGGAACCAGCCGGGTATAAAAGATTTTCACAGGACTGCTGAATGAACCATACAAGTTCTTGAGGTCTTATTCAATGCACTTTGTTTCTGTGTTGTAGGCATAAAAATTAATTCCCTTATTTTTATTTGTAAGCACTCATTGAGTTTACAATGACTAGTTCCTTTTCTTAAAAGAAAAACTGTTCTTTCTAGGAAGACAAGAAATTCTCTGTAATTCAAGGGACCACTGACATTCCCCCAAACCGTCTTTTCCAAACCACAACAGAACAGGAGACAAGCACTGCCACTCATTACAACTGTAGAATTGAACCAGGAATGTGATCTATTTCTCTATTCATGCTGTTTACTTATAAGAGTGGTTTTCCTCTTGTGTATAAGATTTACTCTGTGAGAGGTTTGGAAAGAAAAGATGTAAGAAATTATAAAAAGGAGAGATTATGGAAGTGGAGTTAAGGTCAAAATATAAAGTGACATCACCTACTAAACTAAGTATAGCAAGTCTTACAGGCAAATGAAGTGCAATAACTAGAGTTTTAGTCAGTCTGAATACTGCCGAGCAATAAATTTACTGGCTAATATATTCATCAGTGCAAATTACTGAAGAAGCTGGCCCCTGGTCCTCTCAAGTCATACCTACACCACAACTACTCAGATGCAAGAAAGCTCTTTCTGATTAAAAGCTGCTGCTAAGGAACTTTGTGTTAGGTCAGGTCCTGAGCTTGTGGAAACTGCTTGTTCATCACACATGGAATAGAGTACAGATGCCAGTCCATGGGGTACACTCCAAGGCAGCTTTCCTCTTGCAGGCCTTCAGAGGACAGGAGCAAATGATTACAAAGCTGAAAGTCAGAAGACCAGAGAGATGCCCTTAAACTATTATCTCCACTGACTGATTTTTGCAAAAGTAATACAAAGTAATACATCATAGTCTCCCTAGGAACGGATATTTAACTGTGGTTTGGTTAAAAGTGGCAGTTTGGTATTTCTTAATGTTTTCTTAAATAAATTAGCTCAAATCAGATTGTAGCTAGGATCCTAGAGGCTTTATTTATTTTTAAAAGCTAAAAAGGGGATTATTAATGGTTCAAGCTTCCATGGTGCTTTGGAACTAGATAAAAATCCATGCCTTCTCTCTACATTTCAGTAAATAAGGTAGGTTTTTTATGTTGTGCCTTATTTTGCCTCCCTCTTTATTTTTAGACAAGCTATTCCCTTTGCTCCAGTACTCTTTTGTTTTCCCCCCTTCAATATAGGCAATTCAGTCTTGGTCCCGTTTTCAGAGTAAGTGGCCACTGGAATGAGAGGAGTTGAAGTATTAGCCCACCCCCTTTATGTTTGGGTTTGTCTCTGAATACAGCATTTAAATTGACATGCCAGTAAGGGCCAAGGAGAACAAACAGAGTTTGGATGTGGGGAAAACAAACACAACACCTCACTTCCATTGCAGAATGTCAGATGAGCAGACAAGAGTCATGCCTCACCCGAAGAGCAGGGACAGCTCTGCAGGGGTGAGCAGGTGGGAACACGGCTCTCTGGTGAACGTCTGGGGCAGGATGCTAAGGCATGGGACAGGTGGGACGCAGAATTTGTCAGAGAGATAAATTATTGAGGTGATTTCAACAGGCAACTTTGATGAGCTGTTGTAAACATTCAGAATACATCTGTTCTCTTACAGCATGCTAGCTGAGATGCATTGCTACTCTTGTCTCACCCCTACCCCTCCGAGCCCAAGGAAATTTACCAATATTTGGATGCTTTAGAAGTCGGCAAATTCGAGCTTCACGTTCCAGTTTCTGGTGATCTGAAAGAGAATACGAAACAAGAGATTAGGCACCACAGCTATGAATTACACTCTTGCTCATGTTGAAAAGAGAGAGGAACACAGTGACCCAGCAGACATCCCGAAGGCTGAGAACTGCTGGAACATGTCCGTCTCCCAAAACTTCACAGGCATTTCAGGAGAGGGCTATGCAGCTGAGGCTGCACAAGCCCTGCTGCTCACACTACAGAGCCAGCACTAAACTGGCATTGCACCCTTTGATTCAACGTGAGTAGCTGCAGAATGAAAGGCACCACTCTTCCATCAGCTTCTCAAATATGCAAAGCCACTTCCAGTGAGACCCCTTCTGGGAGGTATTCGTTCTCCAAGGCTGGAGAGTTGGAGGAAAAGTCTCAGAAGAAATAACACAGATGAAATGGGAAAAGGAACTGCTTCCACTCCAAAGAAACACTACGAAAGAAGGGCAGAGTAGGAGGGACAAATACACAGCTCCTGCTAGTGCACAGCCATCACATGAAGTAGAGCACCCTGCCAGCTTCAGTGAACTGTAAAGGTAACCATACTTCAGTACCCATGGACAGACTCGCTGGTGAAATGCTGATCACGCACTTAGAAATCTCCAGGCAAAAGTTCTGCTCAAATGCTAAGTATGCTTATTCCAGCCCAAAGGCAACATCAGTTCAAGCACGACATTCATCTGGATTAAAGAAAAATATCAAGGAGGCTAAAAAATGGTTTCTCTTCCCATCTGTGAGTTGAAGAAAAGGAGAAGGACTTGGAACAACTCTGCCTTTCTCAGCCAAGAAGCAGGGGGCTTTTTAAGCCACTGAGACTTTTCACTACAGCAGTGGTTGACTGAATTTACACTACAACAACCCCATCTTCTCCTGTGAAATGCTCACACTGGACAAGCACAGATTAGTTGAAAGGAACTGAGGGAGAAAAAAATCTTTTAGGCAGCCCTGGCAGCTGCCAAAATCTTAGACTTTTGCGGATGCAGATGCCTAGAACAAGACAAGTAAGAATGCCCAGTCCTTGGACTTCCCATTCCAACCATCTAAGGAACATAGCAAAGGGAAGTAGGAGTCCCTGCCCACTCTTGACATTTCCTTTCTAGCAGATCTTCAGCACAGGTGTGACTCTGTATCCCTGTGACACACAGACCTTCACAGGAGTAAGCAGGACCCTTGGCTGGTTGGACTACTCAGCAGATCACTGGTAGGAATGCAGCACCCTTTGATTTATAGGAATCCTACTGGAGATCCACTTCAAGAAAGCTGCACTGCACTACTCTGCCTGAAAATTGCCTGTTCAGCTCCTTGGTCTCTGCAGCATCTTCCCTTCTCTCTGTAAAGGAGGCTTTGGGCAATTGTTCTCTTCCCCATGAGCAGAAGACAGAGACTGAGCCAAATCTCAGCACAAAACACTTTTCTCTCCCAGGCTGGGAATAGAAGCTCAGGTCATTGCACGATTCCTGTCTTCTTTTCCACTGCTGAACTATAGAAAATGTCCCAATTAATACATTATAGGGCTGAGATGTGCTTACATCCTCATCTGCTATTGTTCAGGGATGGGGGAAGGTAAATTACTCCTTTCATCTTTCCTTCTTTCTCAGTCCTGGAAATTATTGTTGTTGTTGCATATATTTTAGAGTTCTGTGCCAGAGCCACTCTCCAATAAAATACCAGGCAGCAAGAAAGCCTGGAGAGCTTCCATGCTCCTGAGGCCTTGGTGCAGTGCAAGCACTTTCTCACCTGCATTGGTTGGGAAGGGTGGGGGTGTCTTTGCTTCCCTTTTAGCAGCATCTCTCACAAATGAAGTTTTGCAAAACACAGTAGCAAAGTAACAGACAGTGCTACACACTCTGCACTCAGGATAGATTCTCACAGCAGGACAACAGTTCAAGATAAATATCCACAGCCTGCTTGCATGCTTTGGCCTTGCAAATTCCCCACTTTCCCTCTCAGCTCTACTTGGAACTCCTACAGAAGGGGATCCTTCATCTACCCAGATCACGTTGCCCTCGTGCACAGCTATACTTGCTGAGAATCTGTTCCCAACTACAAGGACACAGAGAAGCAGGCAGCAAAAACAGCTGAGCAAAGGGGGAAGAAGAGGCAAGAGCTCACCACGTGCTATTCAGCTCCCAAGTCCTGACAGTCAGGACAGACAGCTGACAGGAGCAAGGCTCAAACAAAATGACATAACCATCAAAATGCCATGGGAGATGTAAATCAAGAGCAATTGCTCCCCTGAAATCCTACACCATCGTGCAGAGGGAGGGGAGCTGGCAGGGCAGCTAGTGTTCATGGGCACCAGCCACACCAGAACTTGTGACAAGAGGTCACCACCCCACACTCCATCCCTCCAGCACCACACAGCCTGGCCGGAGACCAGAGGAGGAGTACAGCACTCCGGTCACAAGGTACAGGAAACTATTTCTGGTCGGGGGGAAAGCATACCACACTCTTCTGTCTCCAGGGCAACAAAACAGGCCAACTCAAGCACAACTCACAGAGAAAAAGCACACTCCAGCCCTGGGAGCACCAGCCCGCAGCAGTCAGCCGCCACAACTGAGCGCAGTGAAAGGTCAGGCTGGGCGGGTTTCCTGCCGCGAGTCCTAGAGGATCACAGCTCCCGTTCCTGCAGGATCACTCGTCCTGCTCCAGGCAGCACCAGCACACGGCCCAACCAGTGACTTGATAAACGCTCCCCCCATCCCCAAAGGTCCTCATCACCTGGTGGCCTTTGGCACGGTGTAAACATTTGACTCTTATCAAATCAGCACCAGAGTCAACTCAGTACTTATGGGGGACAACCTGGTACCCAAACGCATAAGGAATAAAAACAGAACCTCAATTTTCTACCTTACTCTGGTCTAACAAAGGTTTATTCACAGTAGGAGACAAAAATATCCAAAATGTTCGAGTCCATAGAGCAGTGAATGGGTTGGCTTTAACATTTTTCTCATACAGGGTCTGTCTGAACTTTAAAATGCAAAGTAATCTTAACTGTATTAAAATAACAATTAAAAGATCCCTTCCTTACCTAGAGCTTGCAAAGAAATAACTTCTCCTCCTTCTGCCCTAAAGATAAAACTTATTTCTGCAGATCATTTGTGGAACGGAGGTGTTTATTCCTAATGCACAGTGGAACCATACCTCATAGCTAACAGGAGCACAACAACACATCTGACCTACCTTACAGGATTCTAGGCCTGGGACATTGGGCCTATTTCCCACCTTTCACAAAACTGTGAAATTCAACCAGTCATTTCCATAATCTGCCTAAAACAAAGTATACCCTTGGAAAACATAAGGGTTCACATTAAAGAATACAAGTGATAAATAAATTCATACACCCACAGAAATTACTGCAAATGTTAGCTATCCTTCCTGTTAAAATTCGGCACTGCTGTTCCAAGTCTGAATTCATCTACCTCCTGCTTCCAAATATTGGATTTCATTAAGCTCTTTTCCTGCTACGTTACAGAGCTGTCTAGCCCTGAACAATAGCTGATGCTTAAAACTTAAGTACAGGATATTACAAACACTCATCTAATATTCATTTACTGTTTTCCAGCCAAAAAAAAAAGAATCTTGCTATTTGGAAAATTATTCTATCTGCAGTCTGAAGCAATGAGTATCTACACAGACAGGAAAGTGCAGTCTATGTATCTCTTTTGTAGCAAAACTTAAAATGTAAATGCTTAAGAAGATGGTGCTTAAAAAAAAAAGAAAACTTACTTGTGTTTGATACACAAACTAAAGTGTGAATATCTATTTATCTTTTTCAGTCCTTTATATAGTATGATTTTTCTATCTCTGTTCAGCATGTAAACGTACACTTAAGTACCTTTAACATCACTGCTCTGCAAACCTAGCACTGTCATTTTAGTGACATTACTGCTGGGTTTCTTTAGAACATACCTGATGAGAAAATGTCTTTTAAAAGAACTGGGATCTCTTTGGGATGGCTTTTGATTTAATTAAATAGAAAACAAGAATGGCTGTGTTAGCATCATTTGTAAGAGTTAAGGGCCTATAAAACTGGAACTGCTCCATTTCACACAAACATGCAGTTCACTCACTGAAGCAGGACTCTTCATGCACAATGGATGGACAGAAATGGCTGTGCACAATTAGTAAAGTCACGGCTGTAAGAAAATCTAACTGGGAAGGCTAAAACAACAACCCTACCTGAGTACAAAAGATAGCAGACCAAAACCATCATAGTTTGTCCTGATTTTACACAATGCATCAAACTTCAGCAGATACACAGGATAACTTGATGCTAAAGAACGATATACCCAACAGAAATAAAATTCTAATAGCAGATAACTTCACAAACACCTGGCAATCTCCAGCAGAGTGTAGAATATGACTGGTTTTATACTGATGCACATTTCTTACTCTTTACTAAGAAAATAATTTTATTGTATGACCAGTTCTGTCTGATATCCCAAGGATGAGGTGGCAGAGACGGCTGAATAACATGAGACCCATTTTCTAGGCTCCACTTTTCTCCAGGAAAATAGTTCCCAGTTTTCTACTCTAGCTACTACATGCATGACTGCTTTGCAGGAGGTTCATCGTCACCAGGTCTTACTTCTCCAAGGGTACCAAGACCCGGAGAACGTTTTCAGATACAGACAGGGTAGAGGATATCTACAAATGCCAGTAGTCTAGAGCTGCCAAGTGAGAACATTTACATAGCAACAACAACAACAAAAAGATGAAGAAAAAGTTCAGTGTGCCTAATCAGCCTGCTAGGAAGCTGTGTGAGGAGAAAGAGCAGGCAGGAAAGCCCAGAGAAACCTGTCTGCATGGAGCTGAGGCATGCTTGTGAGAGGCAGAGCCTGGAGAACAACACCTATCACAAACCCAAAAAGGACATCAGTCCCAAGCAGGCGGGGTGAGGGCCAAACCCGAGCCAGAGAGCAGGAGGAGCTGGTTAGGTGTCAGGTGCCAAGACTGCCACCCTGCACTGGCAACACAGCACAAGATCCTCCTGACTTCAGA